ATTTTTTTTTTTATTTTTTAAAAAAAAAAAAAAAAAATTACCCAATTGCTCCCGAAGGATTCCTGTAAAAAAAAAAAAAAAAAAAAAAAAAAAAAGTCAGATCTCTGTCGTAGCAGCTGGCGGTGCCAACGTTGGCATTAGAAAAGCCAGAATTAATTTGTTGTTTCTAATATTTCCTGGACTTTCACGCCACACTAGGGTTGCCAGCTCTCTCATTGTCGCCTGGACGTCCCATATAAAGGAGCGACTATTCCATCTCGTATTTGTCCCGTGTGTTGAAAGCTGTTTTTTGATCCTGGCGGCGCTCTTACAGATTCCAGATCTGACATGCGGCAACATTGCATGTCTCTGTTTTGTGCCAAATATGAGGATCAGTACATGATTCCTGTCAGAAACATTGCAGATAAACATGTCTGATAAAGAGAAATTACTATTTGATTATTCAAAACGAGTCCATCCAGGATAAATCTGTCTGCAGTGATGCTCGCTGGCAGGAGTTTTTGATTAGCCTTTTTTTTTTTTTTGATTAGCATTAAAAAAAGACAAAGAACAGAGCACAAACTAAACATAAAATAATTAACTAAATCATTATTGTGATATGAACAATTATTTCCTTGTTGTGTCCCTGCTGATGGCTCGGTTTTGGGGGGATGATGATTGTGTGTGTTTAAAAATGGAGAACAAAATGGACAACGCTGAGCGTCCTGTTCATCAACTTACAGCCGTCTCTGACGGTGAAGACATTTTGTACGACTTAATCCTCTCTCTAAATCACTTTGGATTATAAAGTATTTCTGTATTGACTTGAACTGAACTTTGTGTTGTGCTTTTGGCTACGGTAGTCCTGTCACAATAACGAGCTTTACTGGACGATATATTGTTCCAGACGTTATTGTGATAAACGATAATATTGTTGTTTTGAGACGATTTTCAAGAAATATTATGGCCCAAATAATAATGCAAGAAGATATGATAAAGATCAGTAAACCTTAGATTTTAATGAACATTTAGCACTGTAGCCGGAAGACATTTTAAATATCCACAATAAATAAACAAAACAACAAATAAAATGAATTTTGAAGTCTTTGTAAACAAAATTGTCCTTCAAATAAGGGCCAGTTGAGACCAAAGCACCAAACTGAAGACTTTTATCTACCAGTTTTTAGTAGAAAAAAAGAAAAAAAAAAGATAAACGATAAATCATGGCAATAGAAATTATTGAGTTTGTTTGAATTTATCATGCAATTAATTGATTTAGTGATTATTGTGACAGGCTTATGCTACAGTGTGTCTCTGGTTTAAAAGAAAGAAAGAAAGAAAGAAAGAGAGAAAGAAAAGTTGGCAACCCTAGTTTACATNTAAATCCTNAAAATAGAGAGAGAGAGAAAAAAAAAAAACTTTGGAAAATCTTTTGTTACAAATGTTCAAATCTCAGTTTTTCCTCACTAAATATTGTCACAAACATATTTGCAAAATATCCATGTGGCTGTGGGTCTGAGTGTCCCCGAAACTACTTTCCCACCACTAACCCTGTGTTTATATCCTCTATCCGTTTTTTGTTAGTAAGTGTTTTGCTAAATCTCTAAATTCTGTGTTGCATTTTAAATCTGGGTGATCTTTTCTGCTCCCCTCTCGTTACCCCATCGCCAATCTGTCAGTGCTTCCAACCCCGCCGTCCCCACGATCTCTTACAACTTCAGCTGCATGTGTCTCTGTAGTTTCTAACACGTGTCTCGCCTTGCATTTTGTCTCCTGTCGTTGTGTCCTCTGTTCCCCTCCGTTTCCTTCCTGTACTCTCTCTCTCTGTCTCCAGGAGGAGGGGGTTGTCTCCTTCTGTAAGGTGTGTGCAATAGGACTCATCAACAGCCCTTCTCGCCATTTACCAAAATATTACAACTAAGCACTCCACCACACCCGACCCCCTTTGCCACCCCTCACGCTCCTCTGCCTCTCACTCTCCACCAGTAAGCATGTGCCACAGAACATACGGAGCTGAAATTACCCATCACCCTTCTGGACAGGCTGCTTAAGCTCGCCATCCCCTGCTCTCTGGAGATTCCGGCTCAAATCATTGGATCCCATCGTTATTTTAAGCTTTCTGCTTTTTTTTTTTCTCTACTTTTTTTTTTTTTTTTTACCTCTCTGCCACTTTCCTCACTAGGCTGGTTATTTTTAAATGTTGTTTGCCCCTCTCTACGCCGTAAAAGACAAAAAGGGAAGCAGTAGGCTCAACGAGTCGATGGCTGTGGTTTGTGTTCCTTCTTGTTCTTTTTCTGAGCTGCAGGCACAACAGCTTTAGACAGTTTTTTTTTTTTGTGAGGTGGGAGGGAGACGACTGTGCTTAATGAGCTTCTCGCACACAAACTTCCCCAGATGTGCCCTCTGCAGACGAGCTGCTGTTTTGCAGATCTAACCCTGGATCACTCAGACGGTGTTATTTTCAAACGCATATTAACTAGGTTTGATCGATCCTGAATAAATTAATGGAAAGTCATTTAAAGAAACAAGCAAAATGTAAAAAATGACTACAACAAAAATGCCACTTCCGGTAAGGGATAAATCAGGACTTATTTCCACTTGAGCTAATTGTTTGGAGATCTTACCCTGGATTGATCACATGCCATTATTTTCAAATGCATATTGATAATATTATGCTTTTAGCAATACTGGATAAAATAATTTAAAGTAACTTAAAAAAAAGTGAAAATTACTACAGAGAATCCCATTTCTGGTAAGGAATAAATCAGAACACCCTGAAATTTATTTCCAGTTAACAATCGAACTGTTTGCAGATCTAACCATAGATCCCTCATAAGCTCTCATTATTTCGTATTTATTTAAAGCATATTAACTCCACAAAAGTTAATTTCACCTTCTAAAAGTCACATTTTGAACTCTAACTTACAACCAAGAACCGCAAAGTCAATTTTTACTAACCCTGCCTGTGAGTTTGCTCTTTTCAGATGTGATTTTCTCACTGGTTTGCTCCTTGTAAATTTCACTATTTGTCACAGAATCGTTTTCTTTCTTTCTTTTTTTTTTCTTTTTTCATCAGTAATGAACTCGCAGATGTAAGAGTGCCAGTGTAATTACCCAGAGCCGTTATCAAATCGCTGCCAACGACGGAGATTTACAATAATCTCGCGCAATGGCTTCATCAGCGACTGATCTCCCCAGATTAGCATCGGACTTTATTTTGGGGCGTCCCCGCTGTTTGCTGATGTGCTTCTCCCGTCCTCGATGAAATGGCCGTTTGCAAAATCTTTCTTTACTCGGCTCTGGAGAGTCGCTTTGAGTCATCTGTGCGGCGGAATAACAACCTGCCAGTGAGTAGATATTGGACTGTTGAAACAGGGAAAGCGAAGTGAAGCTGGGCAGCAGCTGATAGGCTGTCAGCCAGGGGAGTGTGTGTGTGTGCACTCCAGAGAGCCCTGCATGCCAGTCAGTGTCGATGGAAAGCAGCTACCATGGAGAAGCCAGGTGTTCCCTATTTTCCAAAAAGGGTTTTTTTCCTATTTTTTTTTAAAGGGGCGTTTTTTTTTTTTTTTTTTTTGATTCATCAAGAAAGGTCGGTGCTTACGTAACTCGATGCGAGAGATGACGTTCAAGAAATTTTATTTGCGTATATCGTTAAAATAGCTGATTTCCTGGATCTGACTCCTCTGTGAAGTTGCTTATAGTCGTGTTTTCATTGCTGCTTTCTAATCGACAGTCAGAAGATGCGATTGGGAAAAGACGAGCACACACTTTTGGTGGTTAAACTTTTTAAAACGACTTAATTTTAATCAGCTAAAGACACTAGCTACTTTTTTTTTTTTTTAGGTTAGATTAGATTTGGTTTAAAGTATAATCAGTTACATCAATTAGTCCCTCTAGCTTTTCACAAATCTACAAAATTCATTCAAAATCAAATTTTTTTCCCCAGATTTTTAAGTGACTGCTCCCTCAGCCTTACCTGATGTCAGGCTATAGTCCATGACCGATATGGCGATTAATAAAAATTATTATCATGAATATCATAAAAATTCCTTACACATATTTCTAAAGTAGTGCCACAAAATCTATGATTTTGATTGCCAAAAAAACAAACATAAAAAACATAAAAACATTCACAAAATTCTGGATGAATTCTGTGAAAAAAATGCTCATTATTTATTAATTTTAAGAAACACTTACTGAAACAAACAGCGATTTGTTGATACTTTAATTGTGCAATTGGTTTTATTAATGCATTCTGGTACAACCGGCCCTTTAAGGACATTCAGATTTTTGAATGTCATTACGAAAACATGAGCTCCGTCTATTTTGCAGTTTGTGTGTCAGCCAGATGTTTTTTTTCTTTAGAGTCATCCATAAGAGTTCCAGCTGGAGCACAACTAGGTATAGGCTGCTTACCAATATCAAGATATACCAAAAGTTAAATTGCTCTTTTTTTTCTTACACCTTTAGAGTGTAAAGTCTTTTTATTTGGGAGCCAGAGGGGTTTTTTTTCTGGCTGTTTGGAGTGTGGTATTGCAGCCCCGCCCATCCCCCCACCTGTAGCTGCCAAAGAAGTCGGTCAGCTGGCTGACATTTCCATCCTGCGGAGGCTGTCGTCTGGTGAAACAGCACTCCACAATCAAAGCATCATCTTCTCTTCTAAGGAGTTTAGAGGGGATTTGGTTTATGTCACAAATGGCTGTTATTTGGCAGCATTGAAGACACATTGTGACAGAGAGAGAAAAAAAAAAAACAGCAAGTTGAAAATCACAGTTCCTTAAGCCACCAAAATAAATAGAGCTAGAACTGGAGAAGGCAAGTGATAGATTTTCTTTTTTTTCTATCTTTCATTTACTTTTTTTGTTTTTGCTATCACTTGAAAAGATGTTATCCGTTACTCAGCCAGTGAAATAACAGCCTAACCTCAATAGCCAATTTTCCATGCGACAGAAAAATATCGCACATTTACAGAGGTATGAATCTGTCTTGTTCACGGTGCAGATAGAGGCATGTGTACAGAATCACAATGTCTATGAAAACATAGGTCTACATACGCGCTTGCAGCTGAGTCATTTGCCATTAGGACTGCGTGAGATGAGCGGCTTCATGGCTGAGCTTATCGGCTCCGATGTGCTGGTCATGCATGCGGCGCCGTGCTTTTACCTCATATTGAGCACAAATACATCCACGTGTTTAATCCTCTCGGCATAAATCCCAAATGCCAAATGAAGACAAACATGAACACTTGTGGGGGCATCCATCATGTACATATGCTCACATATGTTCACCGGCCACTTTATAGGTACTAACTTTGTTATTCTAACTTTGGGGCATGGTGCATTATCCTGCTGGATGTAGCCATCTGAAGATTGGGTACATTGTAGTGATAAATGAATGGTCTTGGCCAGTCACAATACCTGGAGCCCTGCCTATTTGTGGTTCAGTATATTTGGAGACTCACCTATTTGCAGATTTTTCTGTGAAGCGCAGCTATAAGTTATTCATGGAAATGTTTTTCTTCATAGCGCTTATCTAATATTTGTGAAAAATACTTGATGTCCTTTTGTAAAACACACAATTTTCCTCAATTGGCTGTGACCCCAAGGCTACGGATTTTCTCTGCGGATGTTAGCTTTTAGTGCCGAGATGCTTTCTACTGGATGTGTCAATGCATGTAAAGGTATATTTGGTGTTTGTACTATTAAAGCATTTAGTTATACGCTTTTTTAGAGGGAGTCTCAATTATTCATGTACTGCGGTCCCTAAGCCTTGCAAATACCAAGGGTCCCCTGTAGATTGTGTACCTCACACTTGTCAAGGTTTTTAGAAATCTGTCACTGTCCCAGTTTGGTGAGCATTTGAAAATTGTTCTTTGACTTTCTTGTTCTTTGCTGACAGTAGTGGCACCACTTGCACTCGACTGCTGATGTAACAGCCCTAATGTCCCTTAAGTGCCTCTATGTTGTACATTCAGAGATTGTACTACTTTGATGGTTATTTGAGCTCGTCTTGCCATTCTATAATCTCAAACCAGTCTAACTATTCTCCTCTTACATCAGCAAGACCTTTTTGTCTACATAGCCCCCATTTATTGGCTATTTCCTCTTTCTTGGATCATTTCCTGAGAGATGGATATGTACTCTGCAGTAGATCAGTAGTTTCTGAAATACTCCAGACCAATTAATCTGGCACCAAATTCAACACCAGGTTCAAAGTCACTTCAATTTCCCTTTCTTCCTCCCTTCTGATGCTCACTTTGAATATCACCAAGTCACCATCAACAAACGTAGAGGCCTAAATGCTTCGAGTTGCTGCCGTGTCATTGACTAAATCACTGTTTTTGCAAGCAATTCACCTGGTTCGCCTGATAAAGTGGCCGGTGGTTGTATGTATCCTGGACATGCCATGCATGGGCATTCAAATGATTTATTGAAATGTTGGTAACATTTTTACTGTCAGCTTATTGAAAACATACTCTGAGCTCAGTTTTGTTCTGTGTTTAAATAGTAGCTAACTGTTCACTGCCCTTCATGACATCCATATTACACCTCAATGCAATTGACTTTTTGTTTTTTCTGTATTCCCCGAGACATAGCGAGTTGTAACTCATGTAGCGGGTCCCCTTAGCTAGCTCCCTCGCTGCTGTCACCATGTTTTATGACTCGGCATGCAGTCCTAATTACAGCGTTCTTAGGTGAGCTGTGCATTGGTATTCTGAATACAATGGGAGGCAGAAGGAGCGAGGAGTCACCGGCGAGCACCTCCCTCTGCTCCCCCTAAAACAACCCCATCACAATAGAGGCATCCTCCTGAGACACAGGGCTCTAGTAAGTGTGGACTACTATGTGGAGTGCGTAGATGTAGTGACTGCCTGTCTCTCTCTCTGCACTGACAGCTGGATGCAGAGGCCAGTGATCTGCTAAAGGAGCTGCAGAATAAACTCAACACAGTCCTGGATGAGCTCAGCGGGGTGTTTGGCTCCAGGTGGGTACTGGTGTGACTCAAAACTCCACGTGTGCGAGTCTGTAACGAATCCTGTATGGTCGGTCGATGGATCCATATTTTTTATCCCAATGAAGGGAAATTACACCATGAGGGAGCTTTTTCATTGTCAATCTCAAAATTTAATTGACTCAAGCTTATGCTTTGTGAGCACAGCAAGTCGCGAAACATTTCAGCGTGAAGAAAAGACGCCTCTTCTCTGAAAACCTCTTTTGTTGAGCTAATGGGAACAGCAGGACTCAGAAAGCACCTACTCAAACATCGACTGCTTCAACCGAGACAAAGATAAAGCCATAAAAAAATAAAAATAAAAAAAACCTCTTGTTGTGTGCACAGCTTTAAACCTGTAATCGAGGACTGTGTGAAGCAGATGAACCAGGAGCTGGTCCAAATGAAAGGGCCAATTAAAGGGAGCAATCCTGCCATGGATGCAGAAACCGTCTTACGGCCTCTTATGGACCTTCTGGACAAGAAGTGAGTACCTGTTGAAGGCATGATGATCGAAACTGTAGTAGGAGTTTTATTTGTCAACTTGCATGTTCTCTGGCAAATTAATCTAGAGTAGCCAAAGAATGATTTTGTTTGTCACATTCTTGAGCAAGACGCAGTGAAAGTGGATTTACTTGTTACTGATATCATACAATGATGATCACTCTGTTTGTCAAATGGAGGTGTGGACTCCATTTGGCCCATAAAGGTGAACTGTGGTCTCTGGCTCTAAGATGTTAGCAGAAGGTATCTTAATTGCTCTATTTTCTTAAGTAGAGCCACCATTAGTGCTCAGATAGATGAAGATTTGGCAAATTTGGAGGCTAAAGACCCCCATGTACTTCACGACATGTCGAAATTGGTTCTCATTGATGTAGACGTGTGACAAAAATTGCGTCATTTTGTTCGCAGAAAGGCACATGCCTGCCAAAGTCGACACCAGCCCTGGGTCAAACTGTTTCGACGGAGCTCTGTGCAAAGTGTTGTGTGATTGGTCAGACATTTGTTGCAAATGTGCTCTGACGGTAACGTTGGTATTTTTGCTTTAACCAACCTGCTTCCAGTATCCAGTTTTTGTATCCGCAGGAGACATGGATACTTTTGATTCTTCACTAATTAACTTATATAATGTTAAGACTGGTAAATGGTTAACAACTTCTGGATGGAAACTGTAACATTGTTGTTGATGGGGAACGCCGTTATTCCACAGCTGGTTGTATAAAAGTTGTCTGCAAAAGTCCCCAACATCCTCAGAGCATGTGTCGGCACGTCAGCTGTTCAACTTCGGATGAAATATGTGGGAGCCTTTAGTCAACACCTAAATTTGACTGTTTTGCTTCCCAAACCATTCCTGCTTGGGCAGATTGCCCTAGTTAAGAGAGTCCCCAGCCACATGGTCTGAAACATTGCTTAGGTAATTGGTTCATGTCTCAATAACACCCGTAGCTTCCCAGTCACCAAAAGCATCAAAGAACCTTCGCTGGGTTGCCTTCTTCCCCGTCTCCTTCTAACACATTAACATATCGCTCTACCTGTCAGTTGTCATAATGTGATACTTGAGCGATGTCGATTCGTACCATTGGAAAGAGAAAACGTCTCTAAAGAAAGGGAGATATTGTAATGAGAAAGTCTATCAATTCAACTCTTAGGGCTGTATTTACTCCCAGGGTTTTCTTAAAATGCAATCTTAAAAGAAGAAAAAAAGTGCCAGAGCTGAGCTTGAAGAATCATTTTCCTCCATTTTTCAAAGCAACATAGAGGCCAATGGGGTATTATGAGAAATCCTCTTAATGATATGGAAATAGAAAATCCTTCCTGCCGATTCTGAGACCCTGCTCGCACAAAGGGGCGAGATTAAAGCACAGAGCCCCAGCTTTTATTCTCAGTCACAGGTGTTTTCATTTTTTATGAATATTATACATTAAGACATCATTACGTGAAGCCTTCAGCTGTGTTAGATCTGGTTAAGACACGTGCTGAAAGTGTTGACCTGATCCCCTTTCTTTCTGCTACTTCCCAGTTTGATGTTGTTCGCCAAGATCTGTGAGAAGACCGTGCTGAAGAGAGTCCTCAAAGAGCTCTGGAAAATAGTTCTGAACACCATCGAGAGAACAATCGTTCTGCCTCCGCTTAGCGACCAGAGCGTGAGTTGATCACCTTTGAATCGTATTCTCACATTCACTTGTACCTTATTCTTATTTATTGGCCACACGGCTGGGTTTTAGAAGTCCGGCTCACTATTACATTGTCTTATTATGGAGTGAACTGATTCAGCATATGCATGCTCATCAGTGCGCAATAATGTAAATGGGACTTTTAGACGGAAATCGCTTTAACACAGAATGTTTATTTCTTTCAATCAAGTTATATTTTGAGATCAATATTGGTTTAGAAATCGACTGAACTGTGCTACTTGATTCATATATTTTTCACGTTAGCACTGTTGCTAAAATGGTTATATCTGCACGGAGTCCACGATTTTTGATCTAACTCAGTAAAAATTGCAGCTACAGGTCTTACAACGAGCCGTTCATCAACAGAATTCATATCTGTTTTTATGATAGTGCTCGTATAAACAAAGCAACCAAAGCAAGTTCTGTAAACACAGACTGTAACGGTAGCTTGAAGCAACATCACATCTTCAGTTAAAGTATAAATAAAATGTTTAATACTTTTTCCTAAAAAAAAAAAA